AAGGCAGGCGGGCAGCCAGTCAGTCAGTCGGGATGAAGGGAGGGAAGCACAGCCTGCCATGCCTGAGTGGCCAGAGCCCGCCGCCGGGCTGCCCACCACCCCGCGCCGCTGAGCCAGCGGAGCGCTCGTTCACCCGCCACCCGCCTGTTTCCCTTTTCCTCCTCCTCCTCCTCCTGCTGCCGCCTGCTCAGCCTCTTGCCCTCTTCCTCTCCCTCTCGCTTCTGAGCCAGTGCGCTCGCTCGCCCAACCCCTCTTCCTCCTCCTCCTCCTGCCACACCCCGCCCATCCTCTTCTGTAGGGGGGGTTGTCTTATACAGCCAGTCGCCTCCCCTCTTCCTCCTCCTCCTCCTCCTACCACGCCCCGCCCATCCTCTTCTGTAGGGGAAGGGTTGTCTTATACAGCTGGTCGCCTTGTACGCCGGCAAATACGGTAGATTGTTTTTCACCCTTTTTACTAGTTTGACCTAAAATCAGATCTCAGGCAGCTCTGTATTGTGGGTTTGTGCTTGGAAAATGAAGACAGAAGAACTGAAGTCATTTTAGACCCCCTGTTAGAACGAAGCAATTACCATACGCTCAAAGTGAAGAAAAACTCTGGTGGAAGAACAACGGAAGTAGCATAAACACTTTGATATAGATGTTTTCAGCATCAGACTCAAAATGCGGTAAAGGAGTTAGAATGTGCCCAGGAGTTAGAATGTCTCCCACATCTCTGTCATTTCTATTTTCTCATTCTGAGCATCAAAACTAGCAGGAATGTGGGTGGTGAAGAAAGGCCAAAAGGTGTGTGTGGGGGGATATAAAAGAGGAAGCTGAGCCATGATAAAGAGGTATGATAGTAGTTTCTGCCATATATAGAACTTGAACAGGATCACCAGACTGGCTTTAAAAGCTTAATTGTAGTTGTTGAGAGTCTTCCTTTTCATTTTCCTCATAGACACTAACGGTGGAGACTGATTCAAACCTCACCCCCATCTTCTGGTAATTTGTATTTACAGGTACAGTAGGACCCACATATCCACTGGGGATTGGTTCCAAGCCCCCCCCCCCCAATACTGAAAACCATAGATAATGGCAAATATATAGCATGGTAAAAAGGAAAAAAATAAACAGAAAAAAATTATTCTCCCATGTATTACCAGAACTGGCCACTAGAGGGTGGCAGAGACCATCTACATATTCTTCACTATGCATAGCACAGGCCCCTAACACATTCTGGTGGCCGGTTGTGGTACTACATGTGACAATAATTTTGTTCTTGATTTTTTTCTTTTAATATGTGTAATATTTTCAGACTGTGGATAAGTAGATCAGTGGATATTGATCTCGAGGATAAGGGGGTCCTACTGTATTGTTAATTCATGCTCCAGTCTCACCTCTCAATCATGTTATCATCTGAAAGCACAAGCTTTCTAGTTGTGCTGTTTACGCAAATGGACAATTTGGGGTGGCAACTGTGATTTTCTAATCCTTGCACCAGATGCCAGCCCCTTTTGATAAAATCAGTTACCTACCAAGCATTGCGTCTAATGACATATGGAGACAGATAGTATTCAAAAGTAAAAAACAAAAAACAAAACTCAGCATATATACATCAAATGTTCATCTACTCTTTGGCTACCATTCTGTCCCGCACAGATTAAAATCAAGGAATTTTTTTTCAAATCTGTGAATCCTGAATGAACAGCAGAGAATGCTACGACTATTATGTAGAAAAAAAGAACTACCTACCTCTTAAAATGTGTGGAAACCCTTATTTGGAAATCAATTAATAGAAGCAGGCCTAAGAAAATGGGGTTTTCGGACTGACACAGTCCTTTGCAAGTGTGGGAAAGAACGGGGAAACTTCACATTTGTGTCATTGTAGTCAATACCCCTCAACATACACCATGGAAGTTTGATGCTGACTACCCCCAGTGCTCTTGGTGTCGCCTGTTGTTGGGCAAATATTATTGGATATCATTTCAGATATCATTACATTATGGTACTTCCAACATAGATAAAGAAAGATTTTGGGCAGTATGAACTTTTGATAGAAAATACCTAATCCTACAATATATTTTCTGGGTTGGGGGAAATCAAGTGAAATCAAGCAAGGGAAAATTCCAGAAGCTGACTTCTTCTTCCATTAATTACCCACTTCTCACCCAAACACAATGCAATTGTCAGGGCTGTGATTTTTCGGGGGGCGGGGGAAATGTGAATGGTAGTGAGCACAAGAGGCTATGACAAGATATAGGTACCAAAGCTCTGCAAACATTGAATAAGACCATCCACAGCACAAGGCAAAAAGGCAGTAATTTCACAGCCTTAAGCGAATAAACTTCTGAATATTTACTTTTTAATCTTTTAAAAATGTATTTTGAAATACATTTGCAACCAGACTCAGAATCCCTTTGTAATACCTCTTGTGCTCACTACCATTCACACCTGTCAAAAAGTTCTCCTCCTGAGAGTCAGCTAATTGGGTCCTGACTTAAAGGGTCAAAAGTTCGGATTGCCCCTGGAAGATGCTTCCCCCTTTGAAGGCTTATGCCAGGAACCTGATCTTAGAAATCCCGAGTACGTTTACAGAAAACAAACGAAAGTATATTTACAAATTGAGACAAACACAACTATTCTCTGTGCTTTTCTTATGAAGAAATATTTTGAATATGCCATACAAAATTGTATGCTAATTCCCTGGAGATACATGAAAAAATGTATCCCTTTCTGGAGGACTGTTGCTGCATTACTGTCCTTAAAGCAAGCCTGAGTTTTGACTCTTTAAAGAGTCTTGCCTCTGCCTCCATGAATTTTCATTGGAGGACTCTTGCTCCATTACTCTCCTTAAAGTAAGCCTGAGTTTTGACTCTTTAAAAGAAAACCTGTCTTGCCTCTGCCTCCATGAATTTTCATTGACCTTTACTTTTAAAAACTCATAACTCTAAAACCCTTTGCTTAAACTTCCCCAAGTTTGGCACAGAACAAGAACAGACTGTGTGCTACATCTGTGGCAAATTTGATGCTGATTCGAAGACCAGTTTCAATGTTACAATATTTTTGTTTGAGCTGTTCCCATTTTTACAATGGTAGAATGGTGATTTGCTGTGCCAGAATAATAACACCACTGCATTGTCACGCAGTGATAATCATACACTAGTTTGGAGCTTAAATAGCCTCCAAGGAGTTACAAGGAAAGGAGAAACAGAATGGGGTGACATCAGCATATCGATGGCACTGAACCTCGGATTTCTGGAGTTTGTCTCATAGGTTTCCTGTGTGTGTTAAACAGCATAGGAGACAGGACTGAACCCTTAGTGACTCAGGATGTCAAACAGGCATTCCAAGGCACCATCTCCAAAAAAGAATGGGGCCAAAGATCCAATGTAAAATACTGCCCCTAAGTCCCATCCTAGAGAGGTGCTCAGAAGGATGCCATTGCTGATAGAATCCAAAGCTGCTGAAGGATCAGACAGAATTAATAGTGACCCACTTTCTTCATTCAACTCCCAGAGTAAATAATTAAAATTAAGATCATGTCTGTTCCATAAGCAGTCTCCAGGCCAGACTGAAATGGATCGAGGAAATCTATCTCATTCAGGAACTCCTGGAGCTGAGAAACTATCAGTAGGATACAAATGCAACAAATGAAATGAATAATTAGATAAGTGAGCAAGGGACATACACAAGAAAGCAGAGAAACATGGAGCATGTGCTCACAACTTTTTTAAAAGAAAACTTTCTTTCTTTCTTTCTTTCGTGGAGCATGTGCTCACAACTTTTTTTAAAAGAAAATTTTCTTTCTTTCTTTCTTTCTTTCTTTCTTTCTTTCTTTCTTTCTTTCTTTCTTTCTTTCTTTCTTTCTTTCTTTCTTTCTTTCTTTCTTTCTTTCAGCTGACTCATTGGATATTATCTGCCTTCCATGAAGTCCCAAGCTAGGGTACACAACCTGGAGTCAATGGACTACATGTGGTGCATGAATTCTCCGCTATGCAGACTCTGTGCCTTGGAGAAAGGCCAGTCAGGTTCACTGAGATGGTTCCTTTGCATACCTTTGCTAATAGTACCACATCAGGGTAATATGTGTGGATGCTTTAGATTTCCCCCACTGCAGTCACCACAAAACAACCATTGTGCAGAGACTGCTGTAATAAGGGGTAGGTTTTGTGTGTGTGTCTGTCTATGCCCTGGGCCACCTCCTCAGACCAGATGGGCCAAAAAGGTTACACATTCCTGAACTAGAGAGATTCACAAATGATTGCTCATTAAACTCCAACCCTCTGAAAGGCCAAATTACTCCTTTGCATTAGACAATCTTCTGCTCTTACTGTAGGTATATCACCTGCCAAAAGAGAACCCATTGTCTTAGACTTTTGTGCCATGAGATTAAAGAGACTTCCATATTTCACTCTTTATCGTTTTCAAGTTCACAATTCCTGGGGACATTGTGCATGACATCAACCAGCTGGCAAGATTATCTCTATTAGAATATTATAACCACTGAACTTACCTCACATGCCTCGCCACCCAGTGCTGCTGCTCCTACTTCAGACAGTTCCCCCTGAGAGGTTCAATGTGATCTGATTAGAAGCAGTTCTCACATAGAAACAGGAAATGATGCAGAATTTTTCTGTTAAAATGAAAAGGGAAGAAGCCAGTAGCATAACTGAGAGAGGAAACAACACCGATACTGGCTGTGGTGGTGGGAGGAGACCGCTGTCTGTGCCATACCCAGATTACTTTGGTTTTAACACAGTCTCGTTAACTTCAGTTTCATCTATACTACAGTAGTTTTAGAGTTTTTATCTCCAAAGGTCAGTCAAAATATATCAGATTCCACTTAAAGTTCTACAGAAATATTTCAGACTTTACTTAAAGCAGAAGGAAAACACACAGGTTAAACTTTGTAATGGAAGTATTGCATATATTTGTGTCTTTATTTCATAATGTTGAGGTGGATTTTAAATCTCAATGGTGTGGTGATCAATTTGAAAGTACAAGCATTCATACTCACAGCAACCACAAGCCATGTACCCAAGCAGCATTTTAAAAAGGAACAAGTTGTTATTATCCCATGAGCTATCTCTCACACAGTCCAATATATACCGTAATATTATAATGCCCAGGATCAGTGTAAGAAGGGCTAAGAAACTACAGTGGTGCCTTGCTTTACGACGTTAATTCGTTCCAGCGAAATTGCTGTAGAGCAAAAACGTCGTAAAGCAAAATAAAAAAGCCCATTAAAATGCATTGAAACCTGTTCAGTGCACTCCAATGGGCTGAAAACTCACCGTCCAGCAAAGATTCTCCATGGGGCAGCCATTTTCGCTGCCTGTGCAGTGAGGAATCCGTCCCTAAGCACAGCGGAGGGGCATTTTCTTCAGCCGGTAGCCAATCTAAAAACCTGACGATCAGCTGTTTTTGATAGCCGCAAAGCGAAAATTGGTTCCCGAAGCAGGGAACTGATTATCGCAAAGTGGAAAAAACCCATTCAAACCATCTTTTTGCGATTGCAATTGCAATTGAAAAAACATTGTCGTGAAGCGTATTTGTCGTTATACGGGTAATCGTAAAGCGGGGCACGACTTTATTTCAAGCTGGGGGCCAAAATCCACACCAGCCCCAGCTCTTCATGGCTAATATTATGTCAGGGGACTTATCTCTCTCTGGTGGGTAGAGGAATCTGGACTACCCACTGCCTGTATTTTGGCCAGATAGGGAACTTCTTTCTTCCCTCTCTTCTGTGGTAATCTGTCATAAGCAGAAAAGGGAAATCAGAAAGCCTTATTGTTGCCTCATTCACTTGCCAGAGCCTAGAATATCCTTCAGTGTCCCTGACTCACCGAGTAAATATCTCAGAGCTGCATTCCTTGGTGTTTTCCTTTCAGTGCACTAGAGAAAAATTAATATTGTCTCTGATCGGGGTTGGCTTGGCAGAATGAAAGAAGCAGAAGGAGGGGGCCGCCTAGAGTGGTCATATAGACCAGATGGGCGGGGTATAAATAAATAAATAAATAAATAAATAAATAAATAGATAGATAGATAGATAGATAGATAGATAGATAGATAG